CAGGGCCAGGGAGCCCAGGTATCCCAGCACACAGTAGAAGGCAGTGAGGGAGCCCTTGTTGCACACGATGACGATGTGGCCATGTTCAGAGTGAGCATCAATGTCAATGTAGGGTGGATTTGTCCCCATCCAGAATCCACAGAGAGTGAGTTGGATCAGGGAGCAGATGGGGATGATGGAGTTTGGTGCCCCTGATACCAGCCACTGCCTCATCCTTCTGCCTGGAGCAGTCACCTTAAAGGCCAGCAACACAGTAATGGTTTTGGCCAAGACAGTGGAAACAGCCACAGTGAACACAACTCCAAATGAGGTCTGCTGCAGGATGCAGGTGGCTGTGCTGGGCCGGCCAATGAAGAGCAAGGAGCAGAGGAAGCAGCAGGTGAGGGAGATGAGCAGGGTGTAGCTGAGAGCCCGGTTGTTGGCCTTGACAATGGGAGTGTGTCGGTGCTTCACAAAGAGCCCAAGGACAGCAGCTGTGAGGACAGTGAGAGTGAGGGCGGTGCCAGCCAGAGCTTTTCCCAAAGTATCTTCATAAGCCAAAAAAGTGAGAGATTTGGGAAGGCAACAGATTCTCTGAGTGTTGGCATACTGATGGTCTGGACACTTCATGCACTGCTCCATATCTACCATAAAATGCAAATTTTTCTCAGTGGAAGTTCAGTAATTCCCCATTATTCACATTCTCCACCAAATTCCCCAATGGATTCCTTTAGCCAAACTCATCTCTTGTGGTGTTATGCCCCCCGTTTCCAAATCAATAGTTTTTCTTCTTTTTGTGCAGTAAACAGTGCTACTATTCATTCTCTATTTGTATGGAATGTTCTTGAGAAAAATTTTCTATTCTCCTTAATGACCTACTTGTCCTTACTAAATCTGTTTAAGCAGATTAATAAAGTAGGTATTCATTCAGTGAGGGAGCACTCACTGGAAATCCACTATCAGCTGTATGTTCTAAATTTCACTGAAATAAATATGTGCATAACACTCTATGAGGTTCAGTGAGTTTTCTGAGTGTTTTCAGGTTTTTGCACAAAGCATAGTGAAGTTTGATTGTAATTGAACAATATCAGTAGAGCTCTCTGAGGGAGTAACATCTTATAATTATTGACCCTTTAGATCAAGAATTATTCATCGAACCTCTCATTCTGATTTTTATTTTTCTCAATGCTTTTCCTGTTATATAGGTGTTGGTATAAACTTTTGAAAACTTTACACTATATTTATAAATAATTCATAATATACAAAATGATAAATGCTTTCTAAAATTCAAATTCTCAGTTATTGGTGAGGTGAACAAAGAGTTGTTGGAACATTAATCTGACATTCAAGGAGCAGTCAGTTCCCTTAACTAATTCGCCTGTTTTGATACTTGCGCACTTCTATCCTTGCAGAATAATGCTGCTTTGTTTTTCCTCCCCAATACGTGTTGATTTGTTTTCTTTCCCTGACATTATTGTATTGGCTGGGATCTCCACCAGAGCACATGGCAGAATTATTGAAACGAAGCACTCCTTTCTCATGTTTATTTTTTAGCAGTAAATTATTCTGGAAACATTTGTTGACATTAACAGTTTCTTCCTAATCTTATTTTAGCAAAATTTATTGTCATCTATTTATAAATTGTAGATTAATATTCAATTTCTTAATATGTTACATCAGTTATTGACATTCCTTATGTTTTTTCTAGACTCTAGTGCCTTGAGTTATATAAGGTAAGCAAAATTGGCTACAACGTGGCCTCCTTCATCTATAGCAGAAATCATAACAAGAAATGTGATATTCACTTCAGAAGGAAAGTTGCAAGCCAGGCTTGGGCAAGCACACCTGTATTCTCAGCACTCAGGAGGATGAAGCAGGAGGATGCTTTCAAATACCAGGCCAACCTGGGGCCAGCCTGAACTACAGGACAAGACCCTGTCACAAATAAACAAAGCAAACAAACAAAGCAAACCTAAAACAGGAAAATTTCCTTGTGCTGTTTGATTTTCTAATGTCACAGATGTGTAGCACAGTTCAAGTTTCATCATAAAATGCATTGATTTTTCCCATTTCCTATTTATCTGAAGGAGTTTGAGTAATTTAGTAATGGTACTCTCCTGAATGTTTATAAAATTCACCAGTAAAACTCTCAAGCAAACTGGAAATTGTGAGAAAAAATAACTGACAGTTTCTACTTTTTAGGTAAATGTGGTATTTTGAACAATTCTGTTCCGTATTTATCTGTAAATTCATGAATCTTATTAACTTTCTCAAGTACATTGAAGTATTTCATACTGTCTTACAAAATGCTGTTGTGGGATTTTTTGGGATGTATCTTTTTTCAGTGTTTGATATTTTGCAATTGATCTCTTGCAGTTTTATCAAGGGCTATTAATATTACTTTGTTATTAAAATTATTTTAATTTCATTTTCTGTACCTTTTATGTTCTTCTGTTTCCTGTTATTTTCTATCTTCCATTGTCATTGTTTCATTTCCTCTTTGACCTCTTGTTTGTGGTGAATGTTTCAGATGAAAAACTTCAGTTTATCTTTGCATAAATGCACACATGTAATAAAGCACATACATACATATGTCTCCTAAGATAATTTCAGCTTCAACCCACAAGGTTAAATGAATGGTATTTTCAATTCCAGCTGCTTCTAATTTCCATTCATTTCTTTTCTGGGAATCATGACATTAAGAATTTCACTTACTAAAACATAAAAGAATTGTTGCTGCATGTACTTTTATGTGTGCATGTGATACATATAATGGAGCTACTGTATACCAAATCAGTATAAAAGTATATATTCTACAAAGCCTTTATGTTGTATATATATACATATATATATGTATTATGCAAATAAACTATAAGTTACAACATATTATTAATTTTGGCAAATTTACAAAATATTGAAATTATATAGTGAGATGAAATTAAGTCACATATCAATGACCAAAAACATAATGGAAAACCCTAAGCAGAGAAGTGATTGCCAGCTGTTATAATTTAATATAGCAATTTCAAGTTTTTATACTGTGATAATTATCATATGTAAAATCTTCAGTATTGGTTTTCTGTACACGCTCTATTCCATGTCCCAAATACTTCCTATTTTGAGTGTTTTAATAACACTGAACCTTGGAGTAGTTACTATGAATATTATATAAGTGAGAATGTGCCATTTTGACACTTCTGTTGACATTGACAAGAATTTATGTCCCCCTCATTCATCAGATATAGTGGTTTTTTTTGTTTGTTTGTTTGGTTGGTTTGGTTTTTCTCCGGTACCGGGAACTGAACTCATGACCTTGCACTGGCCAGGCAGGCGCTTTGCCACTGAGCTAAATCCCCAGCCCCATCAGATATAGTGTTAACATTAGTTCTTCAGTGAAATTTAAAGCATTATTCTTACTGGGTGTGGTGGCCCATGCCTATGATTGCAGCACTCAGGAGGCTGAGACAGGAGGATTACCATCAGTTTGAGGCCATCCTGGGCTGCCTAGTGAGTTCAAGGCCAGCCTGTATACAGTGACAGACGCTGCCTAAAAAATACCCCAAAGCACAGAAAAAATTATTCCAAAATATTGTATCTAGTATCACCTAGTGAACCCATCATGTCATTACCTTCCCAATCATTACTGCAGATACATGACTTTCATTCTTTTGCCCATACTCTGGTTTCTCTTCAGATTGTATAAATCTTTAGCCTTTAATTTTTTTGCCTGCCATTGCATATTGCCTCCTCTGTACACCTGATGGAAGCATGAAGCCTCCTAAATCAGGTCATCCTTACAATTATCATTTTATAGGTGAAAGACACACCTCATTTTTAAACAAAACTCAAAACTCTGAGCACTTGAACTGTCTGGAAATTGTGTTAGGTACTTAAAGAAATAAAATACACATTCCATATATTCAATGTGGTCTACATGCAGCTTAAAAGGGGAAGTGCTGGTACTTACTAAAACTGTGTACTGAAAACTAGGAAAAACATGAAACTTGCAAAATGGAGTTATTCAGAAATGGGGTACCGTGAAAATAGTGTTTTGACGAGTCTAGAAAAAAATGAATCAAGGAATGTTCAAGGAATACAGAGCGTGTTTTGACATTGGATATTGTAATGTGTACCATAATGAAATCAGATACTAAAGGAAGGAGGAAATATGTTTGGTGAGCTCCTCATCTACTTTCCATTTTCTAGGCAGGAGGCAGGATAACATGAGCAATGGACAGTCTCGTGGAATGCCTGCACTTACCCGTCTCGTTGGAGATCTCATTCTCTGGGCAGGGGGTGCAAGAGAAACAGCAGACAGCCAGTCCCTCCCGCGGGGATTTCCTGAATCCAGGACTACAGCTCTCACTGCAGACTGAGCGGGGAGTCTGGGGAAAATCAGGCATGTGTTGGTGACATCTTGGGCTTTTACCTGCTACTTCAGAATTAGACAGATAGACTAAATTTAATAAGTATAAGACATGTTTACCAAATGATATGAATATAAAAGCTTTTGAAAATATTGTTAAGACCTTTATTGCTGTTCCATTCATCAAAAAGCTGATAAATAAAAGTAATTATAAATTCAAATGTGACTTTCAATTTGCCACACATGAACATTTTCTAAGATAAATCAAGGGAAAACACTCACAGCACAATGTCAGTATTTATGGTTAGTGAAATGCAATACAAATGCATGCAAATTACCTCTGTAATTCCTGTGCCCCACTCCATCACATCTTCATTTAAAGACAACTGCTGACCATGTGGAGCATGTGGGGAAAACCGTCCTACTTTGGTTCTAAGTCTAAGACCCTCTGGAAGATTCCAAAAGTTGAGAATGTCATACTCTGCAGCCGGTTTCCTTCGTTCATCCATGTTCACTTGGTCCCCTGCAGGACTGGTGAATTGAAGCTCCTTCAGAGAGTGGTGCAACTACAAGAGGTGCAGAATCCTATAAATAACTGAGTCCCATGCTTAAGGATCAGAACTCCACCGGGGAAAGTCCTTGAATGTCTTTACTCCCTGCTATACAATGACACTTTACCACAAGTGACAACTGAAGTAGGACAAGTGAAAGGCAATGAAAAAAGAAAAATACCACACTGTTGCCAAAATATCAGTATCCATAAAAAATGCTACAGCAAAACCCAAAAAAATAATGTTAAAAAGCAGAAAATGCCTCAGCTGTATGGTGACAGCTTCTCACACCCTTTTGCTGCCATATTGTTCCTAGAGGACGTACATGAAAACTAAAGTTTTCAATATTGATTCAAATCATATCTCCAATACACTGCTTATCCATTTTGTACATACAGACCTATATTATGAATTATGCAAAGGAATATGATGTTTCCTGTAGTCTGTTAAAAATGCCATGGGAACATTTCAGATTTGTTTAGTTGAAAACATTAGGTGGACAGTGTGCTGACATCCTATGAAACACAAAACATTTATCATGACTCAGGTCTAATTTCCCCCTTGTAGAGTCTCCTTGTTCTGAATAGCCATTTCTACTCAGATTGCTACTGCTCCTTGAGAGTGAAACTGATGTACAACCTCTTGTTTTGGATAAAATATTCTAAACTGTGGGACCCCTCAAGGTAAACTCATTGGAGGCAGTATCTGCCATCCAGTGCCAGAGCCATTACCTGCCAGGGGGAGAATCCCTTCCATTCTCCATTCTTGCTTGGTTGCTTTTGAACGTGTTGAAGAAGGACTCCATGGAGGGCGTGGGCCACAGCATACACAGCATTGTATATATTGTAACTCTCCTCACTCATGGTCAGGTCAAAATGACTGGCAGGCAGACAGGTGAGAGAAGCATTGGGTGGGCAGTTCTTCAATGCACAGTCAAAATTAGATAAGATGCAGTCAAAGTTGATGGCCCAGAACATAGTGAGGTAAATATCTTCTGGGTATTTTGAAGGCGTAGCTGTGTGGATAAAAGTTTTAAAACCAGAAATCTCTTCACGCTGGTTTGAGAAAATGATTGTTCCATGAAAAGAATCAATTATCAAATTATTTCCAAAGGTGGCAGCATGCCATTGTGAGTTTGTGACCCAGACTCTCCACGTCACCAAATATTGCCCGGTGTAAAATCCAGCATCACTTTCACTAGGATCAAAGTACATGATAACCACATTTGCTGGTGATGTTTCTTGGGTCCATAAGTCATGTGTTGGTCTATCTGAGAAATGTAGCATGGCAGTGCTTGAGATCATTTTTACAAATGCTACACAGATTCTGCTCCTGTTCATCTCTTCCTTCAAGTCTGAGAGGAACTGAAGACCTTTCTGACCCTCTGCAATGACCAGTCCCACCCATGTCCAGCTGAAATGAAGCATCAGTGAGACCATGCCAAGGGCTAGAAACGCGTCTTTGGGGGACATCTGATAGACAGAAGAAAACTGACCACTGTCCCTCAGCATAGGGACAAAAGAGCCGAAGGTCAGCTACAAGGAAAGAAAACTGAAAGTAAAATGAAGAGATTGGCAGAAAGCACGTTCTCAGATTTCTGGGTTATTAATCAAGAGCTGGAAGTGATAGAAAGGGGCATTTGTTCATTCCACCATTTTAATTACCTCACTCTTTGAGAGCCTTTCAGAAGCATTTCCTTGGCTGTAGGGCTTCAGAAAATATCTTTGTCTACTTTCCACTCTCTCGTTGTTGTAGACAATCACACTATAGTGACCGAACCTGAATTCTGTGTATACATTGCTTATTTTTTTTATTTTAAAGAGAATAATAAAAAAAGAACAATAGCAAAATATCATTTTGTTTAGTTATACAACTTTCTCATTTTACTTTTAATTTTTTTTACTTAGGACACGTTTATCATTTGTTCATTAGGTATGTACTATGATCACATTCATCATGGGGAATTTGTCCCTGTACATGGTATACCTTGATTTGCCTTTTTCCTCTCCCATTTCCCTCCTCTCCTTTCAACATCCTTCTCCTTCTTACTTACAAAGCATTTTTTCCTCATTTTTTTGCTTGTGTTCTCATTTTTTCATTTTCCTTTCTTCCTTTCCACCTGCCCCTTCCCTACTTCCAATTTCTTTTTGCAAAATTTCTTTCCATTTCACCATTTCCTTGTTCTATTTGGTTCTTATTTACACTCTCAGTGTCTCACACCAGTGAGACAATGTGATATTTACACGTGTGTTTGATGTAGTTCACTTCAGAGTATTATTTCAATGTCCGCCCATTTAGTAATGAATGTCTCAAGTTTATCCCTCCCATGGCAGAGCAGCACTCCACTGTGGATAAAAAAAACACAACCTCTTTACCTATTCATCCCCTGCAGGGCACCTATTTAGTTCCAGAATTTGACTATTGCAGATTGTGTTGCTATATACATGAATATACACATATTGCTGTGGTATGAGGCTTTTAACACTTTCTGAAATTACCAAGTGAAACATCTGGGACAAACGGAAGCTCCCAGTTTTAGTTTTTGAGGAATTTCCATCTGGATTTCCATACTAGTTGTACCACCAGTGGGTTACAGATCAGTTTAAAGAACAAATTAGATTGTTTCTACAATTCAAAAATAATGCTAATGCATCATATCAGAACATATAGGGTGCAATGAAAGCACTCCTGCAGGAGAAATTTATAGTGTGGAATTTCCACATCAGAAAAATAGGGCAAGCTAAACTAAATAATTTTGAACCTCAACTTTCTAGGAAAAGAAGAGCAAGATAAATACAATGAATGTACAAAGAAGAAATTGCAAAGATCTGAGAAGTTAATGCAATTGAGACTAAGGATGTTATACAAAGAACCAATGAATCAAAGAGCTGGTGCTGAGGCCCTAGGAGCCGGCCGAGCAGGCTCCACCAGCTCCCCTCGCCTTGCGCCCAGGCAGCCAGTTCTCCGGGAGCTGCAGCGCTCCTGGGTCCGAGTGTGGGCCGCACTCATACCACCGCGATTCCCAGCCGAAAAGCGC